CTGATGACATAACATTAATCACTAAAACTGAGCAAGAAGCTATGAGGATTATAACACTGTTAAGGACGCAGTTCAGTATAAAATATCTTGGTGAGATTAGGCAATATCTTGGTTTACAAATAGATAAAACTAGGGGAGGATACAAAATCTCACAAACCGAGAAGATTTACCAGCTACTCAACACTCTCACAACGCTTCTCTGAACGTACTCGCTCTCCCAACGGGGAGCTTACCTAACACCGGTTCTTGGACAAGGTACTTTCCAGGTGCAATACAAGTCATTCAATGGACTGCTTCCGGTGACGGTAGTAAACGGCGCGTTGCAAAGCCTCCTAGGACTGGACTGGTTCAAACCCCTGGGACTTGAAGTAACAGAAATCAACACCATCCACGACAACAGCACCAAATAATTCCTTAAGGAGTTCGAGGACATCTTTGGCACTAGTCTTGGTAAGTACGTGGGGACCCCCATATCATTTAATCTGGACCCAAATGTAGCTCCAATTAGACTGAAACCCAGGAGAGTGCCTTTCGCTCTCCAACCCAAAATTGACTTGGAATTGGACAAGTTAATTGGCCAGGGAATCCTAGAGCCATTAGATCATGTATGCTGGGAGACCCCTGTAGTGCCCTCGGTCAAGCTGGATGCGTCAGTCCATATCTGCGTGGACTATAAATGTACAGTTAACAAAGTATTACAACAAAGCGCTTACCCTGTACCCATTGTACAGCATTTACTTCATTCACTTGGCCCCGGAAAGGTTTTTGCAAAATTAGACATGGCGCAGGCATACCAGCAGCTGCCTGCAGATGGTGCCACAGCAGAGGCCCAAACCATCATGATGCATAGGGGTGCCTTTAAATGCACCCGCCTGCAATTCGGCGTTAGTATTGCCCCTGGACTGTTCCAAAGCGTCATGGAACGGCTTTTGCAGGGGATACCAGGAGTTGTCCCATATTTTGATGACATATTGATATCCGCCGCAAATACAATACAATAGCAGAGTTGGAAGGGACCTTGGAGGTCTTCTAGTCCAAACCCCTGCCTAGGCAGGAAACCCTATACCGTTTCAGACAATGGCTATCCAACATCTTCTTAAAGACTTCCAGTGTTGGGGCATTCACAACTTCTGGAGGCAAGCTGTTCCACTGATTAATTGTTCTGTCAGGAAATTTCTCCTCAGTTCTAAGTTGCTTCTCTCCTTGATTAGTTTCCACCCATTTCTTCTTGTCTTCCCTTGAGGTAATTTGG